ATTCTTTCATGGTTAAGCCGTGCGTCTTTTGAAAAAATGTTTGAAGTTTCAGATGCCATGTTGCAACCTTGTTTAGAAATAACCCGAAAGTTTCTAGTTCTAGGTCTAGTGTTAGTTCTAGTGATAGTGCTAGTGTTAGTTCTAGTTTTAGTTTAATTAACACCGGCCGTGAAAGCCTTCGTACTTATATCATTTTTATTAATAACATTTTAATTTCCCTGTGAACGGTACGTATCATTGTATTTCGCAGTAATTCGGTATTTGAATTCAAATTAATATTTTTTTTTAAATCCTTTCATATAATATTTATTTAAAATAAAAATATTTGATTAGAATTATGTTATAAAGAATTTTTATTAATGATTTTGTTTTAAAATATCAACATTGCATATCGCAGTAATACGAAGTTAGTTTGTTTCAAATTTTCCATTATTTATTTTAAAATTTTAAACAAATCTATCATATATTTAATTCTTCACTTAATTTATCAACATATACAAAGATATTATCAATAATCTCCTGCGCCTCCTCTCTACTTCGCACCATATTCTCCTTCAAACTTAGAGCCAATTGAAGACGGTTTTCATACGAGAATACGTGTAATCTAAAACCTAATCGAATATGTTCCGGTTAAAATTCAAATTAGCATTTTAACATTTTATTTTAATACCAATGTTTTGCAGAAACGGAGTAAACATCATTACTGCTTTTATGTCACACCCAGCCAATGACACTGTTTGTAATCCTCCAATATTACTCAGCCCTGCTGTTATGTTCGAAGTAATTGCCCCGATATATTTAATCAAGGACGTTGGTATTAAATGTAATAACTTTGAAAATGTTTGAATCGCCTTAAATACAATTTTTTTTAATTAAATTTATATATAAGAAAAATACTTACTAAGCTATCAACAGAACGTTTCGATTTTTCGACTTCAATTTTAATCGATTTGATCCGATCCAACATAGACGATCCTTTCTGCATACTCACAAGGGCATTGATAAAGATTCCCGTTGATTTATTAGTTATATTATTGTGATCATAAGTTCCGTTAATTATGTCTTCGTCGATTGGTTTAAGTATAATACTCGTTGTACATTTATCCATAACCTTACCTCTTTTCGCTAAAATATTTGCTAAGCTAGCTGTTAAACCAGCCATTAATATTTCACCAAATCCAACTTGGAGCTTATTTTTAAGTTTTTTTATTATAGGAATATATTTTATTTTATCTTCTAAATAAAAAACAACGTGACGTTTATTATGTGGAGTTTGAAACGCGGGTTCATCTATTTGATTACTTAATGGGTTGCGATAAAAATAAGTATAATCCAAGGTGAAGGTGGGAACTGTTTTATTCCTCGCATTAAGTTGCATAGGTTCAGGTTGCTCTTTATGCACCATAACGTTATTTAATAATCCTAGAAGAGAAGGGCCATCGCCTAAACAATGTCTAAATACGAATAAAATCGCTGTTTGCTTTTGCGATTTATTTTCTTTGTCCCACAAAATTGGCTGAGTAAATATTTCACCGTACCACAATCTTTTTTGGTTACAAAGATTAATCATGTATTTATTTTCGATATATTCAAACAATTCTTCCCTACTTAAACATTCTTTATTACTAACATTATTAATGTTGAAGCAATCCTCCGAAGTTAATTGATTCTTTAGGTAATAGGCGTACCCCAAACATCTTTCCACGGTACAGGATAACTTATAAGAACTGTTATGTACAGTTTTAAACATTTCTTGAACGCGCTTTTTAAGGGTGAAATCATCTTCGTTGTGATTCAAAATTATCATGCATGCAACGCCTATTTTTTCCTCCGTGGATTCAAAATAACCATCTAATCCTTGTAATCGACCTCCGTAATTGTTGCCGAGTTTACAAGTTAACCACAAATCCATCCCCCACAAAAAACACTGTATAATTAACATAAAAACGTTCAAAACCGTCATGGTTATAATCGATAATGTTACAAGACATGTTTGTATTAATAACCCAACGAAACCAGATTCTTTTTTAAGAAATCCCGGCGGTATTCCTACCAAATTCTAAAATATAATTGTGTAGTAGTGATAATAGTATAAACTTTGACCGCGAATTTAAACAAAAATTAAAATAAATTTAATACTCACTTTGATGAAGCAATATATTGATACAAATTGATGGAATACAACTTTCATGATGCCTCTTCTCCGAAAACACTGAAAGAAATTGCGAGTGAACACGAGTATTGACCTAATTTTCGTGATAGTGTAAAAAAATAAATTTTGCGATAAGAAATTAACGGAGTTATTAATAAACATTGCACCAATTTTAATTTAATGAAGAAACAAACGCACTAAAACTTTAATCTTTAATCTTTCATTTTCCTCAAGGCCATTAGATTTGCAATTTTTTCTTCGAGATTTTTTTTCCAGGAATTTTTCTTATTAAACACAAAATTTTTAATAATAAATTTTTTTAATCTAATCATAAAATACAGTCTTTTAGCTTTAATTTGCGACATAAACCATCACTTTGCATTTAGTAATAATTTCAAAGCGATTTAATAAAAATATTTCTTTTTCGTACACTTTCCAAAATAACCAAGATTTGTAATTTTTGCTTCGAGATATTTTTTTCCAGTAGTTTCTCTTACCAAAAAATAAATAAAAGAAATTAATCGATCGTAATTGATAATAATATTATATAATTATTCGTGAGATCTTCATCAGAGTATAAAAATTATGTTTCTTAAGGAAATAATATAAATGAAACCATAAAACGTGTATAACAATAATTGGAGATATAAAAAGTTTATGAAAAATAAAACGTGAAAGGTGACTACTATATTGAAATAAACATACCGTATGTAGATCGAAAAAAACGATCGAAATATTAGTATGAAATAAAATTGTTTCTTTTTATAAAAAAGATTGTCTCACGAATAATTATTTAATATTATTCTCTTACCAAACACAACGTTTTTTTAATCTAGTCATAAAATGGAGTCTTTTAGCTTTAATTTGCGACATAAACCATCGCTTTGCACCTAGTAATAATTTCAAGGCGATTTAAGGAAATTCTTCTTTTTCGGACACGTTCCAACATAACCAAGATTTGCAATTTTTGCTTTGAGTTATTTTTTCCAGAAGCTTCTCTTATGTTAAAATTAGTAATGATTTATTTATTTAAAAAACAAAAGACAGTAGTTGTTGATAAAAAAAATAAAATAGCGCGACGAATATTATTGATTGATTATTGAAGCAGAAGAAATAAATAGATTATTATTACAAGATAAAAGACCTTTAAATAACTAACAATTAAAAAGTTATGGGCCCAGACTTCAGTAGATAAATTTAAAAAAAATAAATTTACGTAACCTTAAAAATAAAAAAAAATAATAAAACATAATGCAGTCGACTAGCTAGACGTCCCAAATAGAACAATTAAATGTAGAAAACTATTATAATTGGAAGTTCCAGATGGAAATGATATTAGATTAACAAGGAGTTCTACAAATGGTAAAACCTGATTGATCAGTCTAAGATGGATGAAACAGAAAAGTTATCTATCAAGAAAAGCGACAGCAAAGCGAAGTCGCTGATTGTGCAATGTGTAGCGGATAGCCAGTTGGAACATTTACGAGAAAAAAAAACAGCAAATGAGATGTGGAAAGCATTGGAGGAATGTTTGCAAAAGAAAGGTCTGCCAGGGCAAATGTTTCTCAAGAAGAAAATGTTGGCAATAAAATTGAAAGAAGGCGAGTACCTGAATAAATTTATAAATGAATTTGAAGAAGTTTTAAGACAATTAAAATCAAGTGGAGCGGAATTGAAAGATGAAGATGTAATTTGTAATTTATTAATGGCATTACCTCAATCGTTTGCAACAATTGCTACGGTTATTGAAAATTTATCATCTGAGGAATTAAAATATGATTTTGTGAAATCAAAACTGTTATTGGAATGTGAAAAACAAAAAATAATAAATAATAAAAATAATTTTGAGAACAGTACAGGCACTAACCACCTGGCATTTATGACTGATAAATCATGTTACAAATGTGGTAAACGGGGACATTTTAAAAAGAATTGTTGGTGTAATAAAGGAAGGGGCAGTTCTGAGGCAAGAGGTTCAAACACCTGGAAGGTACTCAAGAGGACGAGGTTATGGTAATCAACCGAGAAGTAATTATGTCAATAATGAAGAAAAGAATAACAGGGGAAGCTGATTATAGTGTTCCTGACAAAAGTTGTGGAGAATTTTAGAACGAATTAAACGAAACTAGGAGAATCCCTGGTTGCGTGGAACATATCGGCGCAGCGACAACCGATAACCGATGCGACTCGAACCAGCGAGGTGTAACGTTGTTCGAAGCGCATCGCACCCTTACTTTATTAAACGTTTTATTTTCTGTTGTTTCTTTTATAAAGTTACTTTGTTGTGTTATTAAAAAGTAAATAAGTAAGCTTTTTATGAACCGTGGTGAGTTTTATTGAACTATTTCCACAAAAGCGTATGCTTTATGGAAGAATTGGATACAAATAAGCAAGCAAGTGGGACGGATTTAAAATTCGTTATAGATTCAGGTTGTACTGATCATTTAGTTAATGATAAGCAGGTATTTAAAAATCTATTAATGTTAAAAAATCCAATTAGAATAGCAGTGGCGAAAAATAATAATAGTTTGGATGCGGTAGGGATAGGAAATATATCAGTATATAAATATAATAATAATATATAAAGTATTATAAATAACGAAAAAATTTTGTGTAACATTAAGAATGTTTTATATGTTCCTAATTTAAGACAAAATCTATTATCGGTTAAAAAGTTAGAATCTGGGGGTATAAAAATAATTTTTGAAAATGCTGAAGCAAAGTTATATAAAAATAATAGATTGATAGGCATAGGTGAACGAAAAAAATTATACAAAATAAATTTTGAAATAATAAAGGGTGAATGTTATAATACTCAAAATGATAATAATGAGTTTATAAAATGGTATCGTAGATTTGCGCACTTAAAGTATTTAGGTTTAAGTAAATTAATAAAAGGAAATTATGTGAATGGGATAAATGACAAAATACCAATAGAAGAAATAAATTTCTGTGAACCTTGTATTGCGGGCAGGATGTCTAGACTACCATTTAGAACACGAGCTAAAAGTAAACGATTGTTAGAGATAATACATACGGATGTTTGTGGTCCTATAACACCAACATCTAGTGATGGTCACAGATATTTTGTAACATTTATTGACGACTATTCACATTTTACAACAATTTATATGATAAAACATAAAGGAGAGGTGTTTGATAAATTTAAAGAATATTTTCAAATGACTGTCAATGTTTGGAATGAGAATATTTAAACTTCGGTGTGATAATGGAGGGGAATATATTTCTAAAGATTTTAAATTGTTTTGCAAAAATGAAGAAATAATATTAGATTATACAATACTATACAGGTGATTCATTAGCTCTATGGCAAACTTTGGCAGATGAAAGGTGATGCGATTCTAAGAAAAAATGTTATATGAATATGGGTCCGATTCATTTTGGTTAAAGAGTTACAAGCCTTTGAAAATTTTACACAGTTTAATAGGCAAATGAAAATGTAACATAAAAAATAAGTTTAAAAAATAAGTTTAAAAATTGTTCGAAATGTCCGCCTTCAGCTTGAATGCACGCCTCACATCGACGNAACCTTACTGAACTGTGGCAAAAGAGATATTGGTCTGTAATTGGACGCATCATTACGGTTACCAGACTTGAATATTGGTATAACGTGAGCTTGCTTCCAGGCAGACGGGAAAACACAAGTACTTAAGGAGACGTTGTACAAAATAGTAAGGGGAAATGAAAGTGACTTGTAACAATTTTTTATCAAGAAACCAGGAATACCATCCGATCCCGGTCCCCCGGTCCCGTCAATCTCCTTCAGTGCCACTTCCACCTCCGCGCGATCAAAACATAAGACTCCAGAACAACCCACAGCAATATCACAACGAGCCGGCCCAGCACCCGCCGAAGCAGTGAAAACTGAGCCGAAGCAATCTGAAAATAAAGAGCAAATGTCTTCACCGACCGTATTAACAGAGTCACCCAGTGACATCACCGCTGGAACACCACTTGCACCCCTCCTACGCCTAAGGAAAGACCAGAAGTGCTTAGGATTACTTGTAATATTTGATTCTGTACGTTGAATGTAGTTATTATAATCGGTATTAATAAGATGTTAACAAGATGTGAACTCTTATAGTGCTAGGTGTAAACCACACAGGGTATCCCCCGGGTCGTTCTTTGAATTTAGGTACATGTTTTTCAAATGCGTACCTCAAATGAAAATAAAAAATATTCAAAATACGTTCAATGCTGCCATGCCGCAGTTCAGAGTTCCAAGTTATTGATGTCAAATATTGGTTAAGTTCATCAATGTTCATCATTCAGATTCTTCTTCTTCATCGTGTTTATTTTATTACGATTCTTTTTCTCGTCGATGTTGTAAGTATCATTTACTAATAATATGTAATACCTAATTAATAATAATATTAAATAATGATTCAAGAATACAAAATATGACTAATAGTGTAATAAATAAAACAGCCCTAAATAGAAAAATCTTTAGGAAATTTTAATTTGCCATATATTGGAAAATAGAAGGTATATAATGGAAGGGAAACAATATCAAAAGACATTAATCCAACATACAAAGTTTTATTTTTCACAATTCTTTCTTTCTGGATCTATAGAAGGGTTGGATCTATTAAATCGGGCAATAAACAATTAAAAAAAAATAATTTTTGCAACATACATTTCTATAATGCACGATTACTGTATGTTTGAAACGTAAAAAACTGTATAATAAAAAATTTATTTATTACTAAAAACAGAATTCGTGAAGTCCCGAAACTTGTCTTTTCTACGTAACATTCACCACTTCTACTTCCAAGCCTTTGGATGTCCAACATAAAAATAACATATTTCCAGGTCTACTATTTCAAGTTGAATCTGTACATGATAGTAATAATTATACTTCCAATGTAATTGAAAATTTCCGTTATCGTTTATGAAAGCAATTTTTTTTTTAATTTCTTGCTTCGAATAGAAGTAAGCTCTTGAAATTCGCTGGACACTTCACCTCGACGATGGCATTTTCGTTTTTTATTGTTTCATTTGGACTTGCAACTAAGAATCCGTATATCTTACGAATGAATAGAGTAGCAAATAGTCTTGGCAATGTTTAGTGTTATTGTTTCTAGCAAATTTCGAGTGCAAGATTGATTTAACTTTATTTAAGCAAGAGGTGTCATTGCTCA